CATGAGGACCCCGTATGGGTTTGCCACGCTGCGCAACGTGGATCTTCCGCACGGTGATGAACAGCACGGCGACACGATGGAGAGCTTCATGCTTGCCGAGACGCTGAAGTACCTGTATCTTCTTTTTGACGAGTGCAATGCGGTGCATGTTCAGGGGAAGCTCCGTGGCAGCATCCCGTCGTATTGCGCTGCTGTGGAGAGCGGCAGCAGTGTGGGGAGTCACGTGGGGTGGGTGTTCAACACCGAGGCGCATTTATTCCCCAACACGGCCGAGTGGTGGGGGCCAGTGTCTGCAGAGAGCGCAAGGGAAGAGGAGGAGGTCTCGGGAGACACGCTGACACAGCGCCGATTGGATGTAATTGATAGTCTTATTGATGGTCTTCATGAGTTGCAGGGCGGTGACAATGACCGTGGAGGAGGAAATACCGCCCCGCACCGATTTTACTGTGCTAATCATGCGCTGAGTGACGTTGAACGGATTTCGAAGTCCATATTCCGCTGAATTGGCAGAATGTTTGTGCATGAAATGTTGTTTTTGCTTTTTTTTGCTTTTTTTTTTTTTTTTTCTTTTTCTTTCTTTTGTAGTGTGTGTGTGTTGGCTGCCTTAATTAATTTATATATCCTGATAAAACGAATGCACTTCTTTATGACGCTTTTTTATCTTATGATTTTTTGGCAAGAACACGACGTTGGGGGATCAGGGAACCGATAGCGGCTGGTTAATTTTTATTTTATTTTGCCATGCCACCCACACCCTTTTGATTCCCTTCTCGCGGTGGGGTCTTGTGGCTGCAGGACCCCAAAGTCTGCCACTTCGTAAGTAGTAAATAAGTAATAAATATATATGTGTCGAATCCGAATAGAGTGAGCGGGCCACAATTGAGGCTCACGTATGGTATAATATATATACACTTACTAGGTGTTAAACTTTGGGAATGTGCTGAATCCACTCTTATTCCATTTATTCCTTTCTTATTTCTATCCGGTTTGTTTTCTATTATTGATAAACTCATGATCCGGCCAGCTGCCCAGAAGATCATTCTAATTTATTTATCGATTTATCTTTCTATGTGTACTTATATATTTCCTGTGAAAGGATTCTTTTCTATAGAGATGCCCTTGCGAACGCCTGCCAATTTTCTTTGCATTGATTACTTCTTTACATTTTGTTTTATTGTTTTTTATGTCTAATTCTGCGGCTGGGTTTTATTACAGGAAAAGAAAAAGGTTCAAACGGATGGAGACCCCTATGGTGGTGCTGCTTTTTGTTGTTTGCGCCCAATAGGCAAATAAAGAAAGAAAATTTGGCTATTACGACAAGGTGCTGATTGAGGTACTGTTTCGTGTGGTGGTGATGGGGGAGGTGATTGGGGAGGTGATTGGGGAAATACTGGGCACAAAATGTGACTTGAAATCCTGAATTGCGTTTTCAGAATGTCTGGATGTTTGTTGCCCTGAGCTATAACAATTTCCTATATTGAAGAATAGTTATTTTTTATTTTTGTGCCTGCGACGTCTTTATGCTGAACTGAAGTTTCTTTTCTTATTCGCGGGTGTCGATAGGACGGTTTAAAACATGTTTGTTGTTTTCGGGCATGTAGGATGGCTGGTGACTGTGCTTTTTTGGGGGGAGTTTACATGAGAGGAATGGGGATTGAGCAGCGTGGGATATGTGGTGAGTGCCGCAGGCTTGTTGGTCCGCGATTTGGGTGCCCTCCAAAATTCATGACATTTTGGGCTCCTCAACGAACACTTTTATTCTTTGTGGAATCATGTGCTATTACAAATGACACCCTGGACTGTTGTGTTTCGCCATCCTTTTTTTTTTTATGGGATGTATGAGAGCTTTGCATGCTGCGGCGAGAACTGCATTTGTTACTGTGCCATTGGTCTCTTTTTTTTCCTTTTTTTTTCATTCTTAGCTATTTTTTACTTTTGTTGCTTATTTTATTTCTGGTCATGTTGAGACTCCTGCGTGCTCCGTGCCTCCAATTCACTCACCAAATGGAGGTGCATGACCATTGCTTGGGATGGAGTCTTTTTTTTTTGTTCAAATTCACACAGAACCATCATTGGGCACATTTTTCTTTTATTACTTTTTTTGTTTTCTTTCAGGAGATACTTCTTTGGCTTTGCCTCCAACGGGATATGCACAGAGTTACGCGTACTTTAAAAACCGAAGCCAAAAGCCTTTTTTGGAAAGGATGCTTTATCTTTCTTCTAACATTAAATTTGTTGTCCATGTTGATGCTTTTTTTTTAGAGTGGAGTTCATACTTCGTGACGATCCCGCGTATGGTTTTGGTGTTGGCCCGACCAGGGCGGAATATATCCGCTGCGTCGGGGAAAGGCTTCTGGTGGATCCAACGACACGGCGGCTGGGGGAAATAACGGGACGGACGTTATCCCTTTGATGGTGGCCCCGCTGATGCTCGATCTGATGGACTTTCGGAGGATGATGTGCAACATCAGTGTGCCAATCCGGCTGTTGGTTTTGGTGCAGAACGGGCGGGAGACGATGCTGTTGTTGTACCTGCAGGAACTCGAGAGGGTCTATGGGTGGTTCGGACGCCTGGTTGTGAGTCGTCACCCGGAAAACATCGGCTACAGCGCTGCCGTGAACATTGGGCTCCGAATTGCACTCTCGCTGCCGCGCGAGTAAGTGCCTTTTGTTTTTGTAACAAACAGCGACGTAATGTTTTCACCCGTTCTTTTTCCCAACCTTCTACGCGATGTGCATGAAATGACGAGGCATGATGCCGCTTGCATGGATGAGTTGGCGGCGGAAGTGGCGAATGAGCCGAGCGAGTACAGTCCTGTTTTGCGACGGGGCTTGAGGGTGCTGCGCTCCACGGTGAATGATAGCCGATTGTCGACGTCTGCGCTGCTGCCTGACCGCATCCGTTATGCTTCTGTGAAGGAGCGTGCAAAGATGTTTTCGAAGTATTACGGGCACTTCTGCGCGTATTACAAAAGCAGTTGTTTTGTGTCTGTTATGTTGACACGCCTGGCGATCAGCACGGTGGGATATTTTGACGAGAGCTTTTACCCAGCTTACGTGGAGGATGTCGACTACAGCTTACGCCTCCGTTTGCTTGGATTTCAGGAGCGAAATGTCTCATACGGCAAATTTGTGCATCGCAGCAAATATAATATTCGTCTCTCCAATAAATTGGAGCTACCGGACGCTCTCTGGTACCGTCGCGTCAATTCTTTGAGTGCGAACGATGCATATGCCATGATGAAGTGGGACCGTCCACGGGCGTGCAGTGGCAGGTGCAAGGAGCCATATGACGGCATGGTCCCCGCAGACGTTTGGGTGAAGGATGAGGCACGCATACAGCGCATTCGGGTCTACGGGCATGATGAGGAGCAAGGGGTTCCAAGGGTTGAGTACGACAGGACACTTTTGTACCCTTTCACGACGAAGGGAAGATGAACTGGCGCCAGTTGCAAGTTTTGTTTTTATTATTTTATTTTATTTTTCGCTTTGATTATTAAAACTTTTTTTTTTTTTATATTTACACGAATAATATTTAAGCGAGTACGCCATGGGTTTTAAAGAGCGCAAAAGCATATATTTGGCATGACAGGGGGAGGGTGCAGCTTCCAAACTTGGCCGTGTTGCTGAAGGTGGGAGAGGGCGGCAGCAAGCAGGAAAAATGAAGATGATGAATGAGGGAGAAATAAAAGGGGAGGGAAGCAGAAAACAAGCCAAAAATATTATGAGCACAACGCTGTTTCTCACCGTGGGCGATCGACGCCGCAATTGGCTACTAATTTACCCACTGAAGGTGACACCTGTTTCCGCTGAATATGCTGCGTGCATATCTGTCGGGCTCTTTGTTTTTTCTGTTGGTTTGTTTGTCTCCCGCACATTTATTTCTCCGTGCCGCCTGACTCATTCATTTATTATTTCCCTCTCTGTTTTTGTGCGTGCATCGAGAGAAGGCCTCGGGGACATGAAGTACGCTCCCCTTCTGTGAAATTCCACCAAAAACAGAAGGGGAGAAAAAAAATAAAAGTGAAGCGGGGAGGGGAACCATCGCCACGCGTCCTTTTCTCCGAGAAGGCTGCTCGCCACGCCACTGAGGCGCGCCGTGTGCTTCGCGAGGTTCGCTGGACTCGATTGGGGTGCCGTGAATGATGGTGCGTGAGAGTGTGGCGGATGCGTCCCCCAGGCGTCCCTAGAGGACCCTCTGGCCATTGGGACTGCGTGGAATGCGGGATTCTGCGGGGATTTTTGCCCGTTTTGTTTTTATTCTTCCATCCGCCCATCCCAAACCTCAACACGGCGGCTGAGCCAACGACTGCGACGGGATCCGTTGCGTATTTCCGAATCTCTCTTGCGTTGCAGCGGCAGGCCTGGTGTGTCCTGCTCGGCAGACACGGTGGACGGAAGTGGGCTGCCTTATCGGGAAAGCGATGTTCACGGCGGAGCGTGTTGCGTACGTCGCAATTTGGCGTGTTTTTGGCGAGTCTTGCGGATGATGTGACGACGCCTCTTTTACTTGCAGGGATAGAAGCGATGCTCAACGGTGATGCACACGTTGCGGGTGGAGGCTTCTCTTGCTGTTGGTTTGTGAATGTTTTTTTTTTTGCTTTTGCTTGAACACTACAGAGGGCGGTGTCTGCGGACAGCAGAGAACTGCGAGGAGGGGCATCACACGATTTTTGGCTTGACGAGGCGGCTTCTGTGACTTTACGGTGTTTATTTTCAGGGTTGAGAGACTATTCTTTGTTGGAATGTATTGTGAGACCATCCGTGTGTTTGTTTTTCTTAATTAATCCCTTGGCATTTGGTTTCTGCCGTGAAAAAGATGTTGGTGGCTGTTTTGTGGCGGCGAGATGCATTTTTATTTATTTTATTGGCGAGTGGGTGAATTGTGTTGCGTTCTGCCATGCGGCTTGTTGCTGACGGCAAGTGGCTGCAGGGAGACTTTGTGAGCGCCTCCGACACGAGGAGCGATTGGGCAGTCATCTCTTCCGCTCGCCGGTACACGGCGTTGGGGCGGCGTGATGATAATGAATCGGCCTTTCAGAAAAGCAACAAGAGGGCGTTTGCTGTTCCTGCTGCGATGTTTGAGTGAACTCTTCAATCCGTGGGCGGGGTTGCTCTGCGTGCCCTATTTCTTTGAATTTCGATGAGTTTTTTACATCGCCATCCACACGCACATGCACACAATCTCCCTGTTTGCCCTCCTGTGGGCGGGAGACCGGGATGCAAGGGGAAAATGTGGCCCGTGCCAGCATGTGACAAAGTCTTTCTTGGGAGGGATTGCGACTGTGATGTACGTCCCGGCAGGCAGGAATTGGATGAGAGGAGAGCGGAGGGGCGAGTAACAACGATTCTGTGCGGGGCAATGCGCAGTGACTAGGGCGAAGTGATATTTATGTTGACTTATCAAAGCATTTTTGTCTTTTTCTTTTGTGGCAATGGAAAGAAACTTTGGGTGATGTGTTGTGGATTATTTGCACATAACTGAGCGCGGCAACACCATTTGCGGGGAAAAAGAGTGGCATCTGCGTGAGGCTTGCTTTGTGAGCGCGAGATGGTCGGGGTGGTGTTCAACGCCCCGAGAGGCCAGGAGCAAAGAGGCCTGCACTGCTGCAAGCAGAGGGATGCACGCTCCTGTTGGTGGTGTTGCTGTGGAGCCCTGAAGGGCCTGCAGGGAAGTTGTTTCCACCGCCTCATTATTTTGTTGATTGGTGCTTGCCGCGGCCTTTTGAGGCGGGACGTGGGATGCACCGAGAGAGCGAGTGTCGTGTGGCGGTGCTGTGAATTGGTGCGGTCCACGTTTGTACACATATTTCCGTTTGTGTCCGCGTCGTTGCTGCGGCGGTGCACCGGGAGCGTGTGACTGATCACTTTATCACCTGCAGGCTGTTTTGGCAGGACTTTGAATGGCGTTGCCGAATAATAAAACTCCGCTTGCATGTCTCTCTCCGTGTTTGTGTGTGTTGGCTTCCGCCGTGTTGTTGTTGTTGTTGCTGTTTTCTGTGTGCGATGATTCTCCGTGCCGCCCCTTCCGGATTGTCTCGTGCCCCACTCACTGCGTGGCTGCTCTGCTCTGCTCCTCACTGACTTTTCTGGTGTATTGCCGCTGTTGCTGTTGTACTCTTCACTTCTTGAACACATACACACGCTAGGAAAGAAAGCAACCAAACGCGAATCGCCACTGTGAAATTCGAAGTCTCTGAAAGGACCAACAACAGCACACACACCGCCCACACACACATATTTATATGCTCTCACGTGTTGCTGCAATGAAGGCACCCCGCACACACAACCGTCGCCGCGTGACCGGATCCAGCGGAGGGAGGAGGGAAGGAAGAGAGAGTGAGCCGCAGAGGCCCAAAATGTCCCGGCGTGTGTTTACTTCCGCGGTGCTGCTCCTACTTGTCGTGATGATCTGTTGTGGTGGAGCTGCGACCGCTGAGGTGGGAAGTAATGCTGATGCTTCAACTTCTGGGTTGGCATTGACGGGTGCCATTACTGCAGAGGGGAGTGCTTCAGGGGGTGTTGAGGGGCTGCAACGGGTCGATCTATTTGTGCCGCAGACGACGCAGGTGCTGCCGAAGACGGGGACTGACTCAAGTCGGAGGGATTCATTTGTTTCACCCTCTCTCGTCAGTGCTGGTGGAGTAATTGCTGCTTTTGCCGAAGGTCACATAGATGCCAAAAAACCCCATACTGAATCAACTAAGCCGTCTTCTGATGTTGTTGCGGAGTACATCGACTCTGCGTGGGAATGGCCCACTCTTGTTGAAAAGGTCAAAAAGGAAGAATGGAGGGCACACACCGTACTTGGTAAAGCGGAGGGAGAGGGGAGTTTGGATGTTGTGCGCCACCCCACAACAACCATGAAGGGCAATAAGGTGTTTCTTCTTGTGGGAAGCACTGCCCTGTCCCCTGTAATTGGGGGTTGGAAAGAGGGCAGCTTGGAACTAAAACTGGTTGTTGGTGAGGTCACGAAGACTTCTGCGGGCGGCGAGCCGAGTCAGTGGATAAAATGGGGCGAAGTTCAATCGCCGGTGAAGCGGACTACTTTGGCTGCTCAGAAAGGTAACTTGACGGATTATATTGCTTCTGGTGGCTCAGGTGTTCTGATGGAGGATGGCACCATTGTGTTTTCTCTGATGGCGGTGAATGAAAAAAATGTTTTTGACGTTTACTCCATGATTATTTACTCGAAGGACAACGGCAGTACCTGGTCGCTCTCTGAGGACATTTCCCCTGCGAAATGCGGTGCACCCCGCATCACCGAGTGGGAGGGATCACTTCTCATGATTATTGACTGCGAGGATGAACAGAGGGTGTACGAGTCGCGTGACATGGGGACAGCGTGGACGGAGGCAGTCGGGACACTCCCAGGCGTGTGGACCAAGTCAAAATCGGAAGAATATCCGGAAGGAGGCTTGCATGTGGATGCCCTCATCACCGCGGCCATTGGGAAAAGGAGGGTCATGCTGTACACTCAGAGAGGGTACGCCTCGGGGGAAAACGCCAATACGCTCTACCTTTGGGTCACGGACAACAACCGCTCTTTTTCTGTTGGACCGGTTGGCATGGACAATGCTGGGGAGAAGGAGCTCGCCAGCACCCTGCTGTACTCGGATGGCAAGTTGCATCTTTTACAACGGAGGGGCAGTGGTGAAGGCAGTGCCATTTCACTCTCCTGCCTGACGGAGGAACTGAAGGAAATTGAGTCCGTCCTCAGTACTTGGTCGCAAAAGGACGTTTTCTTCTCCAGCTTTTCTATACCCACGGCGGGTCTGGTGGCAGTTTTGTCAAACGCATCGGCTAACAACGAAACGTGGAACGACGAATACCTTTGCCTGAATGCGACGGTGACGAACGCCACGAAGGTCAAAGATGGGTTTCAGTTGACGGAGCCTGACTCCGGGGTAATGTGGCCTGTGAACACTCGGGATGATAATGTGCGTCATGTATCTTTGAGCCACAACTTCACACTTGTGGCGTCGGTGACAATCGAAGAGGCTCCGAGTGAGAACACACCCCTACTGACTGCGGTATTGGTTGACGCTGGGCCCGAGTATTTCATGAGACTGTCGTACACCGCGGATAACAAGTGGGAGACGATGTTCAAAGACGATAAAAAACCAACAACGAAAAGCAGGCCTTGGGTGCCGAAGAAAGAACACCAAGTGGCACTCATGCTGCAAGGCAACAAGGCCTCTGTGTACATTGATGGTAAGTCGCTGGGGGAGGAAGAAACGCCGTTAAAAGGTGAGACACCACTTGAGCTTTTTGGGTTTTGTTTTGGCGCGTGCGACATTGATGATGATGATGATGATGGTGGTGATGATGATGGTGGTGGTGATGGTGATGATGATGATGAGGACAGTCCGGAGGAGTCCAGTCCGGAGGAGGCCAGTCCGAAGGAGTCCAGTCCGAAGGAGATCGGCAAAAAGTCTCGTGTGACGGTGACGAACGTCTTTCTGTACAACCGCCCACTGAATCCCACTGAGATGACCGCAATCAAGGACAGGAAACCCGTTTCGACGAGAGCTCCAGAACCACAAGTGAAAATTGCTCCCAAACCTGTCGCACCTGCTGCACCTGCGGTGCCTGGCCCACGGGAAGTACCAGCAGCACCGGGGAGGACAACTGTGGGGAGAACCGCCAATACCCAACATGCGCCAGCGGAACGCTTGACTTCTGCTGGGAATGAGGGGACGGCACGGGAAAAGGGTGATGGTGGGGCAAATGGTGATGCTGGTTCCGCGTACGGGAGGGAACTGCTGCCTCTGCTGCTTCTGCTGGGACTGTGGGGCTTTGCGACTGCGTGAGGAGTGTGCGGCCTCAGTGTGGGACACTTGCGCCATCCCCACACCGACGCACATCCGGTAATGAATTACTCTCCGCAATTCTTTTCTTTTGTGTTTCCGTTTTTTTTTTCTCCCCCTTTTTTGCTTGTTGCCTTGGGGCAACCAATATGAACTTTTTTTTTCATTTTTAATGGTTTAATTTAAATTTTTAATTTTATTTTTCATCCCCCATCCCACTTTTTTGCTTTTGGGGCAATCACTATGGACGTTTTTTCTTTTCTACTCTTTTCAATTGTTTCTTTCTGCACTCTTCCTGTGAGGGGTGCCGTGTGTTTCCCGCCCAACTGCTCCACTCGCACACCCACCGACACGCTCATGACGACGGCCCTGTGCGCCTCGCCTGCTGCACGCATGAGGAGGGGCCGCGACGAACGGCGCGCTGAGGGAGCCGTGACGTGTGGGCGTGCGACGAGGGCCTGTGGGGCGGAGCACACATTTCTTTCCCTCTTGTTTTGCTTTCTTTGCGGCCAGGGCGGGCAGACACCCGCAGCGCCACACACACACAGCCACATCCTGCCGCCGTGTTTTTAAGATTTTTTGCATTGCGTGTTTATTTCTCGCGCCGGCAGTCCCTTCGGGGTCGGCGTCGTCAGCATTTCTTTCTCCCCTCCGATGATTTTTTTCTTTTGCTGCGCTCACTCTCCCGATGGAGTGACGCGACTCCCGTCATGTCTGCGTGCTTCTCTCAGTCCCCCCACACACACGAGTGACTGTGCTCTGCGGGCCGCACTCACATGCCACTGAAAGGGCTGAGGGGAGCAGCAACACGCAGATGACCCCATGAAATATAAACGATGTGCGGACACATGGAGGGTCAGACGGTTGAAAGGCATTTAAATATTTAATTTTTAAATTGCGGGAAAAATATACAAACAGTTTGGTGGGCGCACACGGTAACCAGTTGAAATTTTTTTTTTTTTTTTTTGTGTGTAGTTTTTCTTTTCTTTTTTAATTATTTCTGTGTAGCCGTAATAGAGGAGGACTTTTAAAAAATTTTTTTTTTTTCTTTTTTCTTTTTATCAATTTTTTTTTTTTTTTCAAAGTGTGAAGTGTGGAAAGGTGAAGATGAATTTTTTAAAAATTTTGATAAATTTTTTATGAATTGCCGCTGCTTTGTCTGCAGTGCAATATTGTGAGCCTGAGCAGCATTTTTCTCTTTGTTTCTGCCATGCACTTCTGCTGTACTGTTTTGTTTGTGCGTCCCTTCACATGCTCCGCTCCTGTTTTTTACTTCTTTTGCTTCGTGTGTCTGCAGGCACACACAACCAAATGCACGCACAAAATGCACATTGCAGTGGATTTGGATGCTTTTTTTGTAGCGGTTGCTGGCGGTTGCGGGTGGCTGCTGCTTCCTCCGTGGGCATGAAGGGAAGGAGGAGAGAGGGAGCGCGCACCGCGAGTCACTCTTCCAGCGGGTGTGATGCGCGCGGTGGGCTGCGACTGCTGTGGAGGGCCGCATCTTTTCGGTGTGCGCTTCTCCGCCGTTGTGCCGTGCATTTGCGCATGTCATTTGTTATGCGCGTGCGTGCTGGGCATGTTTTTCCGGAGCGTTGAGCGGCCACCACCATTCTTTGGCGGCTTGTGTGAGCGGGCGCGTGCGGATGAGGGTCAGGGCGTATGGAATGAGGGAATGACTTGAGGAAATGGGAATTTGATTTGGATGGTATTTGGACCAGATTCATTTGGCTGCGGTGGACACATGCACGACGGATGTGTTTCCGCATAATTGGGGGAGGATGCGACAGGATTTTCCGAAGTGGCCCGTCAATGCAATTCGGGTTTCATGGCACTGGGGCACAGTGGTCTTCCTGCAATGGCTGGTGACGGCCCCTAGTGGACCGGTGTATTTATGCTGCTGCTGCTGCTCGAGGAGGCGTATAAGTGCGATTTGAGGTGAGCGGCGGAAGGGCCACAGATCCCGCAGTGACGGTCGTCGTTGGCCCACCGGGTGCCTCCGAAGGTTTTGTTGGATGCAACGTCCTTATGCCCGTCTCTGGATGGCGGCATCCCTGATGCAGCCAACGAACGGGGCTGGGAGCGACGGTGAGACGCATGCACGTGTGGATATTCGGCGCGGCCGGCGCACCGCACGCTGAGAGCATGGCACGGTGAGGACCGGACCTAGAAAATGGACACCACGTGGGACGTCAATCTTCGCTGCAGCGACCGCCACTGAATTTGGATTTGCTCGCACCTCCTGCGGTCCCTCTTCCTCCCCTCACTTCTGTGCCGAGGACTGTGCCGCGGGATCCAGCAGCGCGATGTTTGGCCGCAGGAGCATGGCCCGAACAAATGATTTGTGGGAGGGGATGTGCACTGCGAAGAAAATGAAAAAAATGTTGCGAGACGAACACCACGACAAGACCGGAGTGAAGTTGTTTTTTTTTAATTGCGCGAGGGCGGCCTGCCACCTGGTCGGTTGGGAGGATTATTTTTTTTGCGTCGTTGCGCTCTCTTTTTATTCCGCTGCGTTTTCATGCGGACCTGCGAAGGGAGATTTGCAAGAAATTCCTGCGAGGCGTCCGTGCCGCCGTCGGAAAAGCGGATTCCCCCTTGAAAAACGCTATCTTTTGAATTTGTTTTAGGCGGGGAGTTCCTGTCGATTCAACGCGGCTTTGTTTTGCGTATTTGATGCGTGTGTTTCCGAGCGGTTTGATCTGTGCTCCCAGCCCACTCGGATGTGGTGTGCACGTCGACGTGAGGGTGCCTGCCAGCCGTTTTATTGCCTCCCCCGCTGTGGCTGCCGCCGCTGCCTTCTTCCCTTCCTGAGGTCCTGCGGCTTCTTGACAAGATGTTTTGGAGAAGGCGTTGCCGCTCTTATCGTCCATGGTATTTTGATTCTGGTGTCGCGGTCAGGAGACATTGAACGAGAGGGTTTGCTGGCCTTTTGTTTTGGTTATCCTCTCTGCCTGACGGCCAGTTCTACACAAACGTGCTCCTCGGCACCTCAGTTGGTGCTGGTGGGTTTGCTCACAGTTGTCACTGGCAATCGCATGCGCCAACTCTTCTCTGCTCCATTTCAGTGTCGCATTTTTTTATTGATTGACGGACACCATTCTGTCCGGCGTGATACTTTGATTGGATTGTATGGGACTGCTCGCCAACGCCATCGGAGAAAGCAGGCCGACTTTTTCACGTATTTAATTCCATCTTGCGCGCAGTTATTTTTTCCACATGTTCTGTTGGGCACTCAAACAGCGAGGAGTTCGGAGCTATGCGTGCGTGGAATTCTTCCTGCCATGTGGACTGCGGGCAACACCGAGGGGCTTCCACTTTGACTCCACAGAGTTGTTGTGTTTCCTTTTGGGGGGTTGGCAGGGAAATTGCATGCAGCCTGCTACTGCTGGTGTGTCCAAATGTTGTCACTCCATGCGAATAATGTGCTTCATCGAGTGAGGGTGTTGATTGGGTTTGTGTGCACTCTGATTCTGTTTGCCACTTTGTGCGGGCACGCAACACTTGAGTGGTGGGAAAATGGAGCGGGGCGATGCCTGGCCGCGTCTCGCCCATTGTTCACTGCACGATGGTGCGGTGCACATTGCGGTGCTGACTCTGCGATGTAACTGCGGTCTCCTGTGCCGCAATGGCTGTGGGTGGAGGAGAGTGTTGACCCGCGGCGGGACGGTGGGATCGTGCCTCCTTTTCTCTTTTTTCCTTCCCTTTTGTGAAGGTGTGCACTTATTTTTGGTTTCGGTGATGGGGCAAACAGACAGACAACGTGAATCATAAAATATATACAGGACGATAATGTGGCGGTTTTGGGGTTGGTTGCACGTTGTGTTGCTGCGGGGGCGGTGGGCCTCGGTTGCTTCGCCGACAGGCGTTGCAGTGCGGCTGCATGGCGCACCGACCACTCCGCCGTGCGAGTGCCACGCCCAACGTCATTGGGACTGCGGGACGAAACAGCCGCGACTGTCCTTTGGAGCCAGCGGCACCTGCTGGCCGCAGTTGGGCGGTGCGAGTGTGATGCTTCACCGCACGGGTGTTGTGATGGCACCTCGCCGTGGCTCTTGTGATGGTTCCGACGCTGCAGCTCGACATGTGGTGGGGAGTGAAGTGTGGCCGCAGTGGACCATGAGCAGCACCAACGTGAGGCTGAGTGATTTCCTTTGGAATTATGTTGGCGGCAGGGCGGCCGTTGATGAAAGACTACAATGTGACGATGGAGATGTTTGTTCAGGAGCCGGATGATTACGTACAAGACCAGCGGCTTCTTGAAGAAATTATTAACTTCACTGCGCACCAAGCGCTGGAGGCCATTACTAAGCCTCTTCACGAAGGTGTGCTCTCTCTCTTGGGCAACGTAGGGAATATGAAGGAAAGGATACGGTCACTCCTCTTGCAAAGGGAAAACCAAACGGGGTACTCACGCAGGTACTGACGGAAGCGAGGCGGGAGGCAGAGGAAAGGCTAAGACGAACGCAAGAAATAAAATATACCATTTTCACTAATATCGAAGACGTACTGTTTAAAGGAAGAGCTTGCGTCAATGAAATGAAGCTGAGCGATTTTCTTACGAGGGAACTGGACGGCAGGGGCATTGTGGACACCAATCGGGATGTCTTGCCGGAAGAGTTTTTCAAGGACCCCACGAAGTATATCCGTGATAAAGGAGCATTGGACGAAATACAGGCATCAGGTCATTATTTGAGTATGAAGCGAGCTGTAAAGGGTGAAGTGATCTTCGATGAGGATATACGCAAGCTTTGCGATAAGGGTGTCGACAATCTACCGGGGCGGTCATTGGCTGCTGCGGAGGTAAAAGCAACTGTTCATAAATTCACCAAACATTTCTTGGAAGCAGCTGCCGAGGAGACGAGGAACCCAACGACGACGAGCGCACCGGAGAAACTGGAGGGATGCTACAAGTCTGTGTACAATGCGAGGTGGAGCCATGCGGTGGAACTTCCTGACGGCGATGAGCAAAAGAAAACGGGGATGGGAATGGGGGTGCATGAGGGGTAGCCAGAACAGTCATGGACGTACAAGAAAGCTGACGACGTTATCGAAGAGGATGACGCTGTGCAGCAATTCGGTGCAGCACCTCCCGTGTTGATGGTGCTCACCTCGGAGAAGGGATGGCCGTACTCGCGGAATACGATACAGGATCTTCCTAAGGACGTTTTTGTAAACTGTGAGGTGGATCGAGCGTGGCAGATCGTCAAGGGCGATCTAACCGCGTGGTTCAGCCCTCACGGTGGGACCTACTTTAAGACCAAGCGGCGTGTGTTGATTGGGACGCCCGGGATCGGGAAATCGGTGGCTGCCGGCTCGTACCTCCTCTACCAGCTGCTGCACTGCGATGTCGAGAAACTCCAAGTGGTAGTCCACTGTTTTGGTGGACGAGATGCGTACGTGTTTGAAAAGACTACCAGAGCGGTGATAAAATGCAGCGATGAGGACATGTGCATCTCGGAGTTGAGAAGTTTGAGGGGGCATGGGAGGAATGTGTACATTATCTACGATGTGGCAAAGGAGGGAACGCCGCCACCGAGACATTTTGCGCCTACTTCTGGATGGGGCATGATTGCGGTGTCATTCCCAAAGGTAACCAACTATGATGAGTGGGCGAAGCAACTACAGGCCGCGCGAATCATCGTGAAGTGCCCCGACGAGATGGATGTGGAGGCGATGTGCGCCTGGATAACGCGTGATGAGACTAAAGAGAAACAAGCGGAATACTGGAAAGGGGTCAAAAAACACATGTATCTTTTGGGACCGATTCCACGTCACGTCTTTGATGCGGAGGCGTTTACGGAACGCTGTGGAGCGGTGAAGTTTGCACTGCAATCGATCAACGAGGTAACTGTGAAAGAGCACTTTTCACGGGGAGGTGAGTCGCCATGGTATTCTGAGGTTCCGTCCCACAAGCTTGTGAAATTTGTTCGGGAAATATACGCAGGCGGTGTGATCCTTTTCAATGCACCGATATCTGCTTACCTCGAGGAACGGACATTGGAACGTTTCCCAAGTGTAACAGAACAAAATGGCTTTTTGAGGCTGATGTTGGCGTCGAAGGATAATATTTTGCCAATATTTTTTGGATGGTTTGCTTTGAAATCGTTGACGGAGAGTGCCTTTGTCAAGGCAATAGCGACGAAACTCACGGAGTTTGAGCCACCAACAGGACGTCAAGCAAAGCCCTGCGTCTTGAAGTTGGCCCCTGAATTGCATCCCAAGGGAGATGAGGGTTTGCTGCCGAGTGAATATGAGAAAACGATCCGTAAAATAAAGTACGGGGTGTTGTACAAACCGTGGGCCACAAACTTTCCGCTGGTGGACGCCTTTTTTTCTCGGAGTCCAATCCAATGACGCTGGTCGGTCTGCGGATGACTACGACGGGTGAGCATCACACGACCGCCAGCACTGTGAGGCAGTTCACTGAGTGCCTGGCGGCGTATTTTAATGGCTGGGAGAAATTATCCCGAGACGTATCGTGGGAGATTATTTATTTGGAGCACGTAGAAAGCACGCCGATGAACGACTGGCAGAGATGTGATGTCGACAATTCCGATAATTTGACCGAGGAGGGCCGTGAGATTGCGGCGTTCTGGAACGAAAAGGTGCGCCAGTACCAAGTGTCAATATCATCCGGAGACTTTTGAAGAGACGAAGCTCTCCGAAATGTGCAAAAAAATAATAATAGGAAAACAATTAGGGAGGGAAAGGGGTAGTTTGATTTGTGGCAAAAAAATATTGCGGGAATTATGTATTTTTGGATGCTTGTGTCTGAGCATGCGGTGCGGGTGCACCAGCACCATGCGGCAGCATCGCACACGAATACCCAAAATTTCCAACGCTATCGAACACAACAGTGACGGAAGAAATTGGGGAGGGAAAAGGGTTGTTTGGATTCTGGTGAAAAACATTGGCTGATTTTTATATGGTATGTTGATTGTGTGTGCATACGAGACGTAATTTGAGAATTGCCCGGTATGAGAGAATCATTGTGTTTGGCGGTGTCACGGCGCTACCGCATTGTCCATTTCCTTCTATTGTGCCCTAAGGCCCATCACTAACAGAAGCATCTTAAAGGGATGGACGACGAATAAGTTCTATTGAGGAAACAGTGCACTCCGTGTGACCGCATGGAATGAGGCGCCGCGTCATGGATGGGTGAGGATCCGCTTCCGCGTGTGGCACTTTGGGTGATTGCTCGCTCCGTGTGCGTTGTGTGCCGGCAGCGGGCTGTGGCTGTATTCCGTTGTCCGTGGGATGGAGCTTGGAGGCGGTGGCGGTGTGTCGCTTCTTGTTGTTGTCTATTGGTGGATGATTGCTGGCGGTGTGTGCGTTTGTTGTGTGGAGGGCCGAATCCTCTCACCCGCGGACTGACGGCACTGCGATGGTGTGTGTCTGTGAGGGCTGGTGTGGAGTCGCTGGCCAGGGCGAGGGCCTTTGGCGATGCTTTTCCCGCCTGTCGTTTGTTCCTTCCGTGTGTGTTATGCTGCTTCTTGCTTTTCTCCTCTCACCCTTTTCTCCTGTGTTCCTGCGTGGAGTGGCCGCATGCTCACGGGCCATGTTAATTGTGAGTTCCTCTTGGCGGCATCCATTCATATCTCTCTCTCCGCCTGTCTGTCTGTCATTCCCTGTTGGGTGTGGCGTGTTGCACCGCGTGAGGGCTGGCCCGCACACACCGACGGCCCGCTGTGACTTGCCGCGTTGCTGCTCTTTTCTGTGGGCGATGGTTCTCTGTGCTGTTCCTTCCGGATTGTCTCGTGTTGCTGCTCTCTGCGTGGCTGCTCTGCTCTGCTTCTCACTGACTTTTCTGGTGTATTGCCGCTGTTGCTGTCTTTCTATTTCTTGCACACATACACACGCTAGGAAAGAAAGCAACCAAACGCGAATCGCCACTGTGAAATTCGAAGTCTCTGAAGGGACCAACAACAGCACACACACCGCCCACACACATATTTATATGCTCTCACGTGTTGCTGCAATGAAGGCACCCCGCACACACAACCGTCGCCGCGTGACCGGATCCAGCGGAAGGAGGAGGGAAGGAAGAGAGAGTGAGCCGCAGAGGCCCAACATGTCCCGGCGTGTGTTTACTTTCACGGTGCTGCTCCTATTTGTCGTGATGATGTGCTGCAGTGGAGCTGCGACCGCTGAGGTGGGAAGTAATGCTGATGCTTCAACTCCTTCTGGGTCGACATTGACGGGTGTCATTGCTGGAGAGGGGAGCACTTCAGGGGGTGTTGAGGGGCTGCAGGGAGTCGATCTATTTGTGCCGCAGACGACGCAGGTGCTGCCGAAGACGGGGACTGACTCAAGTCGGAGGGATTTATTTGTTTCACCCTCTCTCGTCAGTGCTGGTGGAGTAATTGCTGCTTTTGCCGAAGGTCACATAGGTTTCAAACCCCATACTGAATCAACTAAGCCGTTTTCTGATGTTGTTGCGGAGTACATCGACTCTGCGTGGGAATGGCCCACTCTTGTTGAAAAGGTCAAAAAGGAAGAATGGAGGGCACACACCGTGCTTGGTAAAGCGGAGGGAACGGATAATAGTGTGGTTTTTTTTTACCACCCCACAACCACCACGAAGGACAATAAGGTGTTTCTTCTTGCGGGAAGCCTTGATTTGCACAATGAAAGTGATGGGAAGTGGAAATGGGACAACTTTGAACTGAAACTGGTTGTGGGTGATGTGAGGGAGCCTACGAGCAGCGAGCTGACTGAACGGATCAAATGGGACCAAATCAGGTCTCTGTTAAACGAGAGTACTATAGCTGCTCACAAAGGTGAATTGAAGGAGTTTCTTGCTTCTGGTGGCTCAGGTGTTCTGATGGAGGATGGCACGCTTGTGTTTCCTCTGATGGCGAGGAGCGGAAATGGTGTCGTTTACTCCATGATCATTTACTCGAAGGACAACGGCAGTAATTGGGTGCTCTCGAAGGGCGTTTCCCCTGCGAAATGCTACAACCCCCGCATCACCGAGTGGGAGGGATCACTTCTCATGATTATTGACTGCGAGAGCAGCCAGAAGGTGTACGAGTCGCGTGACATGGGGACAGCGTGGACGGAGGCAGTCGGGACACTCCCAGGCGTGTGGGTCAAATCACAATCATTCTTTTGGGATCTGAGCTTGCACGTGGATGCCCTCATCACCGCGACCATTGGGGGCAGGAAGGTCATGCTGTACACTCAGAGAGGGAACTCCTCGGGGAAGCAAAGGGAAAGAGCGCTCCGCCTTTGGGTCACGGACAACAACCGCTCTTTTTCTGTTGGACCGGTTGGCATGGACAATGCTGGGAAGGAGGAGCTCGCCAGCGCCCTGCTGTACTCGGATGGCAATTTGCATCTTTTACAACGGAGGGAAAACGATAAAGGCAGTGCCATTTCACTTTCTCGCCTGACGGAGGAAGTGAGTACGATCAACTCCGTCCTGAAGACCTGGGCGCAAAAGGACGCCTTCTTCTCCAGCTTTTCTATACCCACGGCGGGTCTGGTGGCAGTTTTGTCAAACGCATCGGCCAACAACGACACGTGGAACGACGAGTACCTTTGCCTGAATGCAAAGGTGAAGGATGCGACGAAGGTCAAAGATGGGTTTCAGTTGACGGAGCCTGACTCCGGGGTAATTTGGCCTGTGAACATTCCGGATGATAATGTGCGTCATATATCTTTGAGCCACAACTTCACACTTGTGGCGTCGGTGACCATCGAAAAGGCTCCGAGTGAGGACGCTCCTCTACTGGGTGCAATGTGGGGGGACAATAATTCCCCGCATACCATGGGAATCTTGTATACCGCGGATAAAGAGTGGGTGACGATGTTCAAATACAAGAAGACAACAAAAAGTGGCACTTGGGAGCCGGGGAAAGAATACCAAGTGGCACTCATGCTGCAAGGCAACAAGAGCTCTGTGCACATTGATGGTCAGCCGCTGGGGGAAGAGGAAACGCTGTTAACAGCTGAGAGACCACTTGAGCTCGCAGGCTTTTGCTTTGGCGCGTGCGGTATGCAAAACTTTCCTGTGACGGTGAAGAACGTCTTTCTGTACAACCGCCCACTGAATCCCACTGAGATGCGTGCAATCAAGGACAGGAAACCCGTTCCAAAGAGAGCTCTGGAACCACAAGCGGGAGGTGTTTCTCAAACCATCGCATCTGCTGTACCTGCGGTGCCTGGCCCAGAGAAAACTTCAGCAGCTCCAGCGGTGCCAATGACATTGGACCCCCATGCAGTTGAAGAGGTGAGTGAGAGTGGAGCGGCAAAGAGGAATACCTCTCGGACTGAAGATGTACAATTCGTTGTGCCAGAGGTGAGCTTTACCTCTGCTGGGAGCGGACTGCTGCCGCTGCTTCTTCTGCTCGGGCTGTGGGGGGTTGCGGCTGCGTGAGGAGTGTGCGGCCTCAGTGTGGAACACTTGCGCTCTCCTCTGCGCCGACACACACACCGCTAGGAATAAATTTACTACGCAGAGAATAATTTGTCTTTGTTTTCTTTTAATGTTTTTCATTTTTACCTTGCTGCTTTAGGGCAACCACCATGGACGTTTTTTCTTTTCTACTCTTCCCTCTTTTAATTTTTTCTTCTGCGCTCTTCCTGTGAGGGGTGCCGTGTGTTTCCCGCCCAACTGCTCCACTCGCACACCCACCGACACGCTCATGACGACGGCCCTGTGCGCCTCGCCTGCTGCACGCATGAGGAGGGGCCGCGACGAACGGCGCGCTGAGGGAGCCGTGACGTGTGGGCGTGCGACGAGGGCCTCTGGGGCGGAGTACACATTTCTTTCCCTCTTGTTTTGTTTTTGCGGCCAGGGCGGGCAGACACCCGCAGCGCCACACACACACACCCTGCCGCCGTGTTTTTCTTTTTTTTCTTGCTGCGCTCACTCTCCCGATGGAGTGACGCGACTCCCGTCATGTCTGCGTGCTTCTCTCAGTCCCCACACACACGAGTGACTGTGCTCTGCGGGCCGCATTCACATGCCACTGAAAGGGCTGAGGGGAGCAGCAACACGCAGATGACCCCATGAAATATAAACGATATGCGGACACATGGAGGGTCGGACGGTTGAAAGGCATTTAACTATTTAATTTTTAATTTGCGGGCAAAATATACAAACAGTTTGGTGGGTTCACACGGTAAACAGTTGAAATGTTTCTTTTGTGTGTAGTTTTTCTTTTCTTTTTTTTTTTTTTTGTGTGTGTGTGTGGTTTTTTTTTTTTTTTTTTTCTTTTTTCATCTTTCCTTTTTTTTTCTTTTCTTATTGTTTCCAAAGTGTGAGGTGTGGAAGGGTGAAGATGAATTTTTTTAAAATTTTAATAAATTTTTTATGAATTGCCGCTGCTTTGTCTGCAGTGCAATATCATGAGCTTGAGCAGTCTTTTTCCCTTTATTTCTGCCATGCACCTCTGCTGTGCATTTGTGTTTGTGCGTCCCTTCACATGCTCTGCTCCTGTTTTTACTTCTTTGCCTCGTGCTTCTGCAGGCACACACAACCACATGCACACACAAAATGCACATTGCAGTGGATTTTGATGCTTCTTTTGTAGCGTGTGCTGGCGGTTGCGGGTGGCTGCTGCTTCCTTTAGTGGGCATGAAGGGAAGGAGGAGAGAGGGAGTGCGCACCGCGAGTCACTCTTCCTGCGGGTGTGATGCGCGCGGTGGGCTGCGACTGCTGTGGAGGGCCGCATCTTTTGGTGTGCGCTTCTCCGCCGTTGTGCCGTGCGTTTGCGCATGTCATTTGTTATGCGCGTGCGTGCTGGGCATGTTTTTCCGGAGCGTTAGGCGGCCACCATCTGTCTATGGCGGTTTGTGTGAGTGGGCACGTGCGGATGAGGGTCGGGGCGTATGGAATGAAGGAATGGCTTGGGGAAAGGGGAATTCAATTTGGAGGGTATTTGGACCAGATTCATTTGGCTGCGGTGGACACATGCACGACGGATGTGTTTCCGCATAATGGGAGAGGATGCGACAGGATTGTCCGAAGTGGCCCGTCAATGCAATTCGGGTTTTATAGCACTGGGGCACAGTGGTCTTCCTGCAATGGCTGGTGACGGCCTCTAGTGGACCGGTGTATTTATGCCGCTGCTGCTGCTCGAGGAGGCGTAGAAGTGCGATTTGAGGTGAGCGGCGGAAGGGCCACACACCCCGCAGTGACGGTCGTCGTTGGCCCACCGGGTGCCTCTGAAGGTTTTGTTGGATGCAACGTCCTTATGCCCGTCTCCGGATGGCGGCATCCCTGATGCAGCCAACGAACGGGGCTGGGAGCGACTGTGAGACGCAAGCACGTGTGGATGTTCGGAGCGGCCGGCGCACCGCACGGTGAGGGCCGGACCTAGAAAAGGGACGCCGCGTGGGACATCAATCCTCACTGCAGCGACCGCCACCGAATTCGGATTTGCTCGCACCTTCTGCGGTCCCTCTTCCTCCCCTCACTTCTGTGCCGAGGACTCTGCCGCGGGATCCAGCAGCGCGATGTTTGGCCGCAGGAACATGGCCCGAACAAATGTCTTGTGGGAGGGGGATGTGCACTGCGACGAAAAGTAAAAGAAAAAAAATGTTGCGAGACGACCACCACCACCAGACCGGAGTGAAGTTGTGTTTTGTCCACTTGCGCGAGGGCGGCTTGCCACCTGGTCCGTTGGGAGGATTATTTTTTTTGCGTCGTTGCGCTCTCTTTTTATTCCGCTGCGTTTTCTTGCGGAACTGCGAAGGGAGATTTGCAAGAAATTCCTGCGAGGCGTCCGTGCCGTCGTCGGAAAAGCGGATTCCCCCTTGAAAAACGCTACTTTTAAATTTGTTTTGGGCGGGGAGTTCCTGTCGATTCAACGCGACTTTGTTTTGCGTATTTGATGCGTATGTTTCCGAGCGGATCGATCAGTGCTCCCAGCCCACTCGGATGTGGTGTGCGCGTCGACGTGAAGGTGCCTGTCAGCCGTTTTATTGCCTCCCCCGCTGTGGCTGCCGCCGCTGCCTTCTTTCCTTCCTGAGGTCCTGCGGCTTCTTGACAAGATGTTTTGGAGGAGGCGTTGCCGCTCTTATCGTCCATGGTATTTTGATTCTGGTGTCGCGGTCCGGAGACATTGAATGAGATGTTTTTTTTGCCCTTTTGTTTTATTTATCCTCTCTGCCTGACGGTCAGTTCTACACAAACGTGCTCCTCGGCACCTCAGTTGGTGCTGGCGGGTTTGCTCACAGTTGTCACTGGCAATCGCATGCGCCAACTCTTCTCTGCTCCTTTTCAGTGTCGCATTTTTCGATTGATTGACGGACGCCATTCTGTCCGGCGTGCCACTTTGATTGGATTGTGTGGGACTGCTCGCCAACGCCATCGGAGAAAGCAGGCCGACTTTTTCACGTATTTGATTCCGTCTTGCGCGCAGGTATTTTTTTTACTTGCTCTGTTGGGCACTCAAACATCGAGGAGTCCGGAACTATGCGTGTGTGGAATTCTTCCTGCCATGTGAGCTGCGGGCAACACCGAGGGGGTGCCACTTTGACTCCGCAGAGTTATTGTTTTTCTTCACAGGGTTGGCAGGGAAATTCCATGCAGCCTGCCACTGCTGCTGTGTCCTCAAATGCTGCTCCATGCGAAGTAAAGTACTTCAGCGAGTGAGTGTGTTGATTGGGTTTGTGTGCACTTTGATTCTGTTTGCTACTTTGTGTGGGCACGCAATAATTGAGTGGTGGGAGAATGGAGCGGGGCGATGCATGGCTGCGTCTCGCCTATCGTTCACTGCACGATGGTGCGGTGCACATTGTGGTGCTGACTCTGCGATGTGACTGCGGTCTCCTGTGCGGCAATGGCGGTGGGTGGGGGAGGTTGCTCGCCCGCTGCGGGACGGTGGGATTGTGCATCCTTTTTATTCTTTTGTGAAGATGCGCACTTATTTTTAGTGTTGGTAATGGGGCAAACAGACAGACAACGTGAATAAAACAAAATAAAAAAGGGCGATAATGTGGCGGTGCTGTGGTCGATTGCACGTTGCGTTGCTGCGGGGGCGGTGGGCCTTGACTGTTTCACCGACAGGCGTTGCAGTGCGGCTGCATGGCGCACCGACCGCCCCGCCGTGCGAGTGCCACGCCCAACGTCATTGGGACTGCGGGAGGAAACCGCCGCGACTGTCCTTTGGAGCCAGCGGCACCTGCTGGCCGCAGTTGGGCGGTGCGAGTGGGATGCTTCATCGCACGGGTGTTGTGATGGCACCTTACCGCGGCATCCCCGGCGATGGTTCCGACGCTGCAGCTCGACATGTGGCGGGGAGTGAAGTGTGGCCGCAGTGGACCATGAGAAGCACCGTAGAGGAAATCCTGCAGGAGGGAAACACTAGCAGCACCGACATGAGGCTGAGTGATTTCCTTTGGAATTATGTTGGCGGCAGGGTGGCCGTTGATGAAAGACTACAATGTGACGATGGAGATGTTTGTTCAGGAGCCGGATGATTACGTACAAAATCAGTGGCTTCTTGAAGAAATTCTTAACTTAACCGCGTACCAAGCGCTGGAGGCCATTACTAAGCCGCTTCACGAAGGTGTGTTTTCTCTCGAGCAATGGAGGGACTATGAAGGAAAGGATACGATCACTCCTCTTGTAAAGGGAAAACTAAACGGAGTACTCACTCAGATACAGAAAGCAGAACGGCTTGAGGCGGAGGAAAGAGCGAAGCGTGAGTAAGAAAGATCAAGACGAGCGCAAGAAATGAAATTTACCATTTCCACTAGTATCGAAGATGTACTGTTTAAAGGAGGATTCCGCGTCAAGGAAATGAGGCTGAATGATTTTCTTACAGTGATATTTGGCGGCAGAAGCATTTTGCGCGCCAATCGGAGTGTCTTACTGAGGGATTTTTTCAGTGATCCCACGAGGTATATCCACGATGCGGGAGTATTGAACGAAATACAGGCAACAGGTGCTTATGCGAGGATGGAGGAGGCTGTAAGGGATGAAATAATCTTCGAAGAAGATCGAAGTAAGCTTCGCGATAAAGGTGTCATCAATCTACTTGGGTGGTCAGAAGCTGCTGCAAACGTAAAAACAACTGTTCATAACAACAATAAAAACTCATTGGATGCAGCCCTTGAGGAAGCGAGGAACCCAACGACGACGAGTACACCGATATACCTGGAGGGATGCTACGAGTCTGTGTACAATGCGAAGTGGCACCATTTGGTGGAAGTTCCTGGCGGCGAGGGGACGGGAATGGATGTGGAGGAGGGGGAACCACCGCAGTCATAAACGTACAAGGAAGTTGGCCGAACCCTCGAAAAGAATGACGGTGTGGAGCAGTCCGGTGCACCGCGTTCCAGGCTGACGGTGCTCACCTCGGACAAGGCATGGCCGTACACGTGGGGACAAGGGCTGAGTGAATTTATTCCTGACTGCTATGTGAA